CCCTTGCTGTGGCACCTCCGACAAATCCACGAAGCCGATGGAAAGGAGGCAGCCGCCTTTAAGGCCCTGAGTGGAGTGGAGATCTCTGGTTGCCCTCCTCGGCACAAAGACAGTGTAGACCGCGGAAAAGAGGTCTCTCTTCCTGAGAAACCAGGTGCCAGCATTTGTCTTCAGAAGTTTCTCCCCAAACAGAAAGTCAAGGGAGCCTTTATAGGGTCCCCTCCTTGACCTCAAGCCAACCTGAGACCTTTTCCCAAGGACTGGGCACCCGGTGCTGCGTCCACCAAAGTGCTTCCTCTCTGCTCCCCACTCCCCTCACCATGCCCACCTTGTGCTGGTGAGCAAAAGAGGACAGGGCCTCCTGAGGGGGCAGGGGCATGGTTGGCCTCTTTGCCCAGGAGGAGGCCAAGGGGTCCAGGGCCTCAGTGCACATTAGGGAAGACCTCCGAGCCGTTCCCAGGCTGTACATTCAGAGACCCCAGCTTTACAGCCACCTAATTTCTGTGTCAGGCAGGAGCCCTAGTGATGATCAGCAGGAAGAGTACGTACCGCAGGGAGACCCCACATCACATGTAACTTGGGAGGGTTCACGTTGGGGGCAGAGGTTGTTAGTAGGGGGAGCGGTGGTCTTTATGGGAAGACACATGGCAGCAGGTGACCGCAGTATCTGCATCCAGGAAAGAAAGTCAGCCTAAACTGGAACCAGAACAGATCTTAAGATAGCCCTCCTGGATCCCTTGTAAAACTGACTTCTTGTTTTTGTTGACCAAAGAGAATTGATAAGATTTCTGAAAGCTGAAGAAAGGCTAGATCGCTGCCCAGTTTTTGCAAAAGGGGACCGAGAACAGTAGAAATGAAGGTTTGGAGAAAGCGTCCAGGAATTCAGAGGAACGAGTTGAGGTCACCCTCGGGTGGTGCAAGGAAGGTTAGCGATTGTCTTCAGCAGCTGCTTTGCTTAACTTTAGACAATTGAAACGGCAGAGAGAATCATGCAGCTTTAACCTGGTTCAGTTCAAGTATCCTGGAGCCAAGGCTCCTTCACCTTTTTTGACTGGCTTATATATTTTAGTTTTACTTTAGAAAAAAATTAAAAACACAAAAAACCGTATCAACATTTGTATGTCTACCATCTATAACTAATTTTGGTAATGTTTTGTCTTCTTTGGTTCAGACCCTTATTTAAAGAAATATATCAATAATAATTAATTCTGTGTCCATTACCAACACCATTCTCCTTTTTCTCTAGCTGGGCTCAAATAACTGTCACGATTTCAGCTTTCTTAACGTTTCTTGGCTCTTGGGCCCCCTTGAGCTGAAAGCTCATTTCCCACTTCCCCTTCATCAGAGAAACATCAACACAAATGTCCCTTAAACTGTTAAGAGGGTCCCAGCTGGATCCTCTTGGAAATTAAGACACTCCAAATCAAGAACCCCTCCTTGGGGACTTTCTTTTTTTTTTTTTGAGAATCCAGTGAGCAGTCAGCAAACAGTGGGGTCTGATTTAGGTAGAGCCCTGTCCTTGCTGCCCTGGGAGCTGCTTTATGAAGCCGTAGACGTGCCTGCTGGGGCAGTGTCAGCCTCCTGCGTTTGCTGTCGGCTGGTTTATCGCGGGGAATTTGTTCTGCAGGGTGAGCAGCAGCCCCTTGGCCTCTGCAGCGACTGCAGTTCAATATTGCTGCTGACCTGCAACACGAGACCTTTGACAGGGTTACATTAGCCCTGCTCCCACCAGCAGAACTTTAATTTGGTTCTGTCTGTTGCCTGCTATTAGAGATCACGTTGACTTAATTGCAGAATAAAAACAGAACTCCTTTGCTCCTACCTTATGTGAATGGGGTGCTTTACCGTGGGGCCGTTCCCTTTCTTAGAGCCAGAGTGTGCACAGAGGTGGTTCTCTCTCTCCATCAAGGCTCTTTTAAAGACAGACGTCCTTCACCACTCTGCTTTGCTGATTGAAGTGAGTCTCCCCACCACAGCCTGAACTTTTGTGTCAGCTTTGCTGAGGCTTACAATACAACTACAACTAACATGCAATAAACACATATTTAAAGTGTACAATTTGAATATTGCTCTCCAAATACATCTGTGAAAGCATCGCCACAATCAGAATAATGAATATACCCATTGCTCCTCAGAATTCCTAGGAAAGCACTGATCTGCTTTTTGTTGTTACAGATTTGTTGGCATTTTCTAGACTTTTATATGAAAGAAACTATATAGCATGTGCCCTTTTTTGTCTGTCTTCTTTTACTCGGCATCAGTATTTCCAATTCTGTCCATGTTGTTATGTGTACCAATAACTTGTCCCCTTTCATTGCTAGTAGTAGGCCGTCACATGGATATGTCATAATTGTTCATCTGTTCACCTGTTGATGGACATTGGGGTTGTTTCCAGGTTTGATTATTACAACTAAAGCTGCCAAGAATGTCCTGTATACAAATCTTTCTGCCTGTATGTGTTCATTTCTCTTGGATACATACCTAGAAGTGGAATATTTATATCATAGAGTGGGTATATTTTTAACTTCTTAGGAAATTACCAAATTCTTTTTTTAAGTGGTTATTCCCACCAGCAGGATATGAGAATTCCAGTGTCTCCTTGTCTTTGTGAGCACTTAGAATGGTCAGCCTTTAATTTTAGCCATTCTAGTGGATATCTAGTTGTATCTTACCACCTTTCCTGTATTTGTGACATTGAGTACCTTTCCTGTACCTGTTTTCTGTAATGTCTTCTTAAATGAATTGTCTGTTCAGATCTTTTGCCATTTGTATTGGGTTTTTGTCTTTTAGGCTTTTGACTTTTAGGCTTCTTTATATTTTCTAGATAGGAGTTCTTTGTCATGTCAATGAAAAAAATGAACAGCAGTCTAAGAAAGAAATGAAAAATTTCATTTGAGCCAACCTGAGGATTGTAGCCTAGGAGACAGTCTCAGAGAGCTCGGGGAAGGGGGCAAGGTCAGTGTATCTGTGGTTTTGGCAAAGGTGTGTGTGCTGTTCAAGAACATCTCTCAGCAGAAGACTGCTGCCGGTCACGAGGAACAGACATGTTAGTTGATGGTTTTAGTGCTTTTCTAAGTATGGAAAGATGCAAAAATCCAGGTTGTAAAAAATTTCTAAAAATATCTAACTGTCTGAGGGCCAGTTCTGTCAGTTTTCCCAGAGCATAAAGTACTTCATCCTGAGCTTCTCCCTGAATTTCTTTCAGAATCTATTGTAGGTCGTCACACAGTGGGTCATGACTTAATTCTTACAGAACCAGATGGTGGACAACATGCTTTATTTTACAGTCCTTTCCCTTTCAGTCTTAACTTAGACCAAGAGTTGGAAGGCATTTTGTGACCAATTTGTTCCACGACACTGGGAATGTTCACTCCCAAGTCAGACGAGGATCTCATTGATAGGCCTCTCGGGGTACTATTACTAGACTAGACCTTGTTAACAGTATCCAAAGGCCTCTGGACTGTCTGTCTCACTAGTCTGTTATGGTCCAAGAAATGGTTCCCTCTTATTGTTTCTTCCCATGTCTCGAATTACACTATTAAAATCATTGATCTTATGGAATTATATATTTGGTCAATCATTTTAAGTCACCTAATCATCATTAATTTTATCTGAGGCTCAGTCACACATTTGGTAATGCAAGAAACAATAATCTTGCAAAATTGGCAGAATACAAGTAATATAGCTAGTAACATTCATAAGGTCATAAATGGGGGAGAGGGTATAGCTCAGTGGTTAGAGTGCCTCCTTAGCATGCATGATGTCCTGGGTTCAATCCCCAGTACCTCCATCAAGAAATGAATAAATAAACCTAATTACCTCCTCTCCTAAAAAAAAAAAGACTACAATAAAGTCCTAAGTAAATATATAAGTGAAGAATTTCCATTAGATGCGGCCCAGTATCTCCCCAGTTTGTCTGAACAGTCTGTCCTGCACCAGTCAATACCTTTAAGGGGAATGATACGTTGTCATCGTACATAGAGTTCACCCAAGATGTCTGGGTGTACAGGGTGAGTGGTGGGTCATCGTGACCCCTTACGGGATTAAGAAAGGAATGTTACCTTCTAAGGAGTTACATGGCTGACATCAGGAGAGGAAAAATTGATCTTTGTGGCTGAGCAGGTGTTTCTGCTGTTGGGGTGGTCTGGCTAACACATAATGCACATTCACAATGTGCACTGGAGGGGAGGGGAGGGAGGAGGCCAAAGGGAAGAGTAGTTTTATGTTGAAATTTTGTTGCCTTGCTTTAAAATGTGGATTTTTATTTCATCACTCAAATATTTTTCCTGCAAAGACTTTCTCATAGGATGTCTTTTATATTTTCATTTCATAATAGTGTCTTGAGGGGTGGGGGACAAATGTATATTAAAAAAGAAAATGCAGCAATGCAGAGATTTGAGAAAACATAGAAAAAAGTACAGGTAGAACTTGGATAAATATGAAAGTAAAACTAAAATGTGTCTTACGTCTGAAATAGTAAACATTTAGGACCACCTGTTTTGCTTATTTAATAGATAAGTAAACTGAGGCTTAGAGAGAGAATAAGTAACTGGATCATAGTTACTCATGTGCATTGACTCTGGAACCTACGTGTAACTCCGTTGTCTGCCCACTGGCTGTGTTAGAAGTAAAAGGCACCAGCCAGAACCCTCTGCCCCACCCCGCCTCTCCGTGGTTCTGGTGCTCTTTTGGAACTGGTCTCGGATGCCATCATATTAGGACCTGTCTCCAGTAGTGTGTTGGTCTATTTTTCACTCATCCATTCATTTGTTCACCCATTCACAGCTTTGTACTGAGTTAATACCTGCATGGTGATATGTGTAGGTAGGTCCTAGGATGAGAGGATGAGAAAAACAGAGCAGCTGAAATCATAGAACAGTAGCAAATATAAAAGTCAGTAGATGGCAAGAGGAAGGAGGGTAAGGTAGATGCATGTGAAGCAATGCTCAGAAATCTTTAATCAGTCCAAGTGCATAACATAATGTCTTCTATGCACAAGCATGCCTGAGCCTGGTCAGAGTGTGACTATTAATTCCCCCAACTCCAGAATTCTTAGCAAGCTTCCCTTAAAGTTCCCTTACAGTTTTAGGGCCTGAAAGACATCTTTTCCAGATTTGTGAGAAAGAGTATGATACCTGGCCAGGTGAAAAGGGAATGGGACACCAAGAAAGGAATTACCATCTAATGAATGCCTACTGTGTTCCAGGCGTTGTACAGGATACTTCTTGTGTGTTACTCCGTTTGATTTTTATGCCAGTCCTGAGGAGTAGGCATTATCCCAGGGTTACAGATGAGAAAACAGGTTCTGAGGGGTTCAGTCATCTGCCCAGTTTCACAAACCAGGAGCAGGTGAAACCAGGTTTGAAGAGGAATTTCAGGATTAGGGAGGAACCAGATGGTGTAAGTCAGATGTAAATCCATGGTGGAGGACAGTGAGGAACTCTCATCCCATTTTTACGTTCCATTCTTGAATGAATCTGAGAAGAAATCAGCTGAGATGTCCTTCAAGTTGGATTGGGGATTGGATTTCCAGTATCCTTTTTAACGCCATGAAAAAAAACCAAAAGCAAAAGACAAATTTAAAAACCTCTTTAAACTAGTTTTGAAAGAAGGAAAATCGGGTATATAGCTCAATGGTAGAACGCACGCTTAGTATGCATGAGGTCCTGGGTTCAATCCGCAGTACTTCCACTTAAAAAAAGAAAGAAAGAAAAGGCTAAAAAAATAAAAGAAGGAAAATCCTCAAGGCTTCTCCCAGGAGAGCTTGCAGTCCAGACCCTGGAAAGGGACTGCTCTTTGAGGAGAACCTCTCCTGATGAGTTGGCTGTTGCCCTCTTGGGGAATCTTTCTCCATGACCTCACCTGAGTCACATACTTCGTCACATTTGCTTTGTCACAAGCACCAGCCGACCTGCAGCCTTGAGCTTTCGTGTTCCCTCAGAGCATTCTTGCACTTTGGGTAATTTTCGTGTGCGTATATTTGTTTTAGGTACAAGTAAAAGGACAAATAAGAACTTTATCTCCCTTAGGATCTTAGGAAAATGTCAGAAAGACCTTAGGGAAACCCCTGGTTCCCAACTTTTCATTTCTCACGTGAGGGAACTGAAGGCCAGTGAGTCTTACCTGTTTGCCCCTAAGTTTCTGAAGTCACTTGGTGACAGCTGCAACTTCGAATGGGGATGTCCACCTCTCTGTCCACCAGCAAGAGTGTGCTTCCTGTCCCTTAGGCGTTTGACCTGTGTTTCACCCGTAGATTCTTCAGAAGCCAACCCCGGAACTCAAGCACCAGCTGGCTGCTTTCTCCAAGCGGGTCGCCGGCGCCGTGACCGAGCTCATCCAGGCAGCGGAGGCCATGAAAGGTAGGCCGGGCGCTCCGTGTCGCCTCGGGGGGCGGGGTTCGCACGCCGAGCAGAGAGCATGCGCAGCCGACACGGGCCCTTTCTGGGCAAATGCGGTCAGAAGGAGTACAGTGAGGAACCTTCTAAAAAGCAAATGAAAGTAGAATTAGACTTAAAAAGTAGTATCCTTGAGACACGTCTTTTCTCCAGTCTTTGCATTACGTACGCCTACGTAAAAGGCGTGATCCATCTAGAACTGCTCACTTCTCTTTCAAGGGTCTGGCCATTCATTTTTATCGGCCTTTTCGTTTGTCAGAGTATTTATTCTAATTCAAATAATATACTTCATGTATAAACAGTGGTCTCTGGGTACACTGTTTGCACCCTGCTTTGTGGTTACGCAGAAGCAATCAGCTCACCAAGAAAAGATTTCCTTATCAGTTTCCCTGTGTTTGAGTTGAGGGGAATGGCTGTTCCTCACGAGTTCCTTTTAAGTTACAGGTCAGAGTAGACCTCAAGCTGGCCTTGGTCTATGAGACCTCAGTTTTTTGAAGCTGTCAGTGATGGCTGTTCCTGTGGTAGGGCTGTCTGCACAGCTGATGGAGAAAACCAGGATCAGCATGGTGCCCCCATCCCTGCCCAGCTGATCCTGGGAGAGCTGGCGAGAAGAGCCCTAGGGACAGTGCAGCTAGTCGGCTGGAGGAGCTCCCTTGCGTGCCAATCCAGTGCTATTTGTAATTAAGTCACTGCCCGAGGTCTGCAGCTACCAAAAATGACCCTCTTTGGACTGATTTTAGGAACAGAGTGGGTGGACCCAGAAGACCCAACCGTCATTGCAGAAACAGAATTACTGGGGGCCGCGGCGTCCATTGAGGCTGCTGCTAAGAAGTTAGAGCAGCTGAAGCCAAGAGCAAAACCAAAAGTGAGTGTCCACGTGTGGCTGCATGATGGTGGCAACAGGCCTTATGGTGGGTGGCTGTGACATGGAGCGAGGGGGTGCAGGGAGCGTGTCCCCTGCCCCGTGATGAGACTAGCAAGCTGCAAACCTGTTCTGCCTGCCCAGCGCCTTTTTACAGGGCGTGGAAAAAATCCGAGGGTGAGTCTTTCAGATTCACCACCCAGAAAAATACCTTTGGGTGTCCAGAGGAAGAATCCAGGTATTTACAATTTTGATTTATAATCTATGAAGTCAAGCAGGTGTTGAATGTTTTCTATAGAAAGTCCCTGTTACTGAATGTGAGTTTGTCACCCTCCAATTTTCTGGTATCCACAATGCTTCTTCCAGAGAAATAGCATTATGCTGGGTCTCTCCTTTTCTTAAAATCAATAGAGGGCAAGGCGAACCTCCAAAGTGGACCCAGTAACAGACTTTTTCAGTACAAGCTGGAGACTGTGTTTGGCTGGTATATTTTCTCCATCTCTGTCATCTAGATAAGTTTAAAAACTTAATTAGGATTATGAGTATGTGTTGAGAGAAACAGTTGTGTAAAGGAAAGAGACACTTTAAGATAGGGCAGTTTAAGAGAGGACAATTATTACATAAAAGGGTGATACGCTGGTGCTGGGCGGGGGGCAAAGCTCAATCTGTAAAGAAGCTGTAATCCCCCTGCCCCAGTGGCTGTCTTCACCGGGAAGATGGTGGAACCAGAAGAGGCCTCTTTATCTTTCTATTCAAGCAAGTCCCTGCTGGTCCCAATAACCTCACCTCCCTCCCAAGGATCCAAATACATTAGGAAATAAAAACTGGCTTTTCTCTTCCAAAAAAGTTGGATTCCTCCAGTTTAGGTATGCCTAAAACTCTACTTTTTTTTTTTATATAAAACCAAAGGATGGAGTTTGGGTACTGGAGTTCACCACAGCACTCAACCACAGTTCCTTGACTGATGTGTGCAAAATCAACATAAGCATACAGTGAATCTGCTAAGCTTGTGGACATTCTTAAAACCATGAAATTCTTAGAACCAATCTCCCAGTCATCGCTCTAGACTTGGTAAAGGCATTTTTAGAATTTCTCATCAAGATGAAATTTAAGAGCTTTGGCTTCTGGGTTTTGGGTTTACCAGGGTCCTCTGTGCTGGCCTTAACTGGAGGCTCTTAGGCGGTCTCAGTTGGTCCAAGTTTTTCTCCACAAACTTCAGAGCTAAGTGTAGGTAAAAAGGCAATGCCATTTTCTGGTTATGTCTGTGTTTCTTCTTTATAAAAGAAGTTCATCGTGAGTGGATGTACTTTCAACTAAGGAGCACCACTGACAGAGAGTTAAAGACTTTACACTTCATTCGTTTTTCCTTTGCCTTATCTGATTGACCACATACTTTCCTCTCCTGGGAAGGCTTCTGTCTGCTGGTGCTGAAGTCATATCCTTGATGCTTCCTCCTGGAGAATTAGCCTGGTGCTGTTAACATTAACCCTTCACTGCATTCCAAGAGCTGCTGTCCCAGTTCCTTTCCCATTGTCCTTTGCAGGGTCCTTCTGAGTGCTGTCTGTCTCTGAATTCTGGTTTCCCTCTGTCCAGCCTTTGATTTATCTCATGGTTCTTGATCTGCAACCCAAAGTCATTATAGAGTTCCTCCCCCATAGGATTGTTAATATAACAATTAAATGAGATAATTTGAGAACACAGTGTCCGACAGACAATATCACCATCACTGAAAGTATGCTTCTGGAACTTTTATCTACTACCTCCGAGGAAAAATGCCTGAAAGAAATATTATTTCATAGATTCATGAGCTGATGGCCTTAACAAAGAGGAAAAAGAAAGGAAATGCAAAAGGCTCACATTGATTGAGCACCAGGTATGTGCTAAGCAACCTTATGGGTGCTTTACCTGG